GAGCAGGACTGGTCCTAGTCACGGTTCTGGTTAGGGTGGAGTGACACTAAAAATATTAAAATAATACGAAGGCAACTCGAACCGCAACTGTGACCAAGACCGGTCCTGGTCATGGTTCTGGTTCGGGTGAATTGGCATTAATAGTCTTAAATTATACGAACGCAACCCGAAACACAACTGTGACCAAAAATTGTCCTGGACACGGTTCTGGTGCGGGTGGATCGGCATGAATTATAGTATTACAATATTTATGCAACCGGAACCACACCTGTGACCAGGACAGATCCTGGTCATGATTCTGGTTGTGGTTCAGTGGCATTCGCTCTATTAGAATGATTTTTTGACCAGCCGATCCACAAGTGGTTGTGTTTCATCGGCACGAATACTATTACAATAATATAAATGCAACCCGAAGCGCAACTGTGACCAGGACTGGTTCTGGTCACGATTCTGGTTCGGGTGGATTGGCACGAATCAAATTATTATAATAATATTAATACAACCCGAACCACAACTGTGATCAGGACTGGTCCTGGTCACGGTTCGGGTTCTGGCTCATTGGCATCCAAAATATGCTAATATTGGTGCAACCGGAACCACAACTGTGACCAGAACTGGTCCTGGTCACGTTTCTGTTTCGGGCGGAGTGGCATGATACAGATACAATAATATTAACGCAACCCGAGCCGCAACTGTGACCAAGAGTGGTCCTTGTCATGGTTCTGGCGCGGGTGGATTGGCATTAATCGCATTATTTTAATATTAATGCAACCCGAACCACAACTGTGACCAGGACTGGTCCTGGTCACGGTTCTGGTTCGGGTGGGTTGGTATTCGTAACATGATAATATTAATGCAACCCGAACCGCAACTGTGACCAAGACGGGTCCTGGTCATGGTTCTGGTTCGGGTGGATTTGCATGACTCTTTCTTTTTCCACGGCAACCGTGCAGGTGCACCAGCGCAGGGTCCATTAACGTGACCCGGGGCGTAAAGCTCACCCCAACCCTCGGCGACGGCCGAGCGTCTAAAGCACACTATGGTACCAATCCTCGAGCCGAACCTACAGCTCAGGCGCGCTCCCTGCTATATTTGCATGAAATCCTTAAAGCATGGAAGAAGAACAACTGCAATGCGACCGCCCCGCTGCCTAAGCCAAGACGTGAGTTTATGTACCCCAGGGCCGAATCAGCCGCAGCTTATAAACCCAATATGGCTTGACATAATGTGGCGAGCACTGGGGCCACCAGTGCGCTCCAATTCACCACAACCACAACTGTGACCCGGACTGGTCCTGGTCACAGTTCTGGTTGTGGTGAATTGCATTACTAATCTTATAATAATAGAAATTCAACCCAAACCGCAACTGGAACCAAGACTGGTTTTGGTCACGGTTCTGGTTATGGTCACGGTTCTGGTTCGGGCGGATTGGCATGAATACTATTACAATAATACTAATGCAACCCGGACCGCAACTGTGACCAGGACTGGTTATGGTCACGGTTCTGGTTGTGGTTCATTGGCATTAATAATATATGAATAATATTATTGAACCAGAGCCGCAACTGTGACCGCGACTGGTTTTGGTCATGGTTCTGGTCCTGGTCACGGTCCTGGTTCGGGTGGATTGGCATGACAACTATTCCAATAGTATTAATGCAACCCGAACCACAACTGTGACCAGGACTGGTCCTGGTCATGGTTCTGGTTCGAGTGGATTGGCATTCGTAATCTTAGTATAAGAGTAATGCAACCCGAACCACAGCTGTGACCAGGACTGGTTTTGGTCATGTTTCTGGTTGTGGTTCAGCGGCCTTTGCAGCATTATAACATTATCGATGCAACCCGAACCGCAACTGTGACCAGGACTGGTTTTGGTAATTGTTCTGGTTTGGTCGTACTACTCTGAAAGTATTAGAATAATAAGTCCTGACCAGGATCAGAACCAAGACTGGGTAAGATCACAGTCACGGTTGCGGGGCATTCTTATGATTATATTGATACTATTGCACCCCAACCATGACTGGGACTGGTCCAGGTACGATTCGAATCGCATTAATGTGCAATCATTGAGTAATGCACATCGTAACTGTGACTAGTTGTGGTCGGGGTCTGGTTCTGGCATTATTCGAATTACCGAATAATGCCAACCCCGACCAGAACCAAACACTTGAACCTTACTGAAGCGATCACGTTGCATTGATTTTTAACAGGGGCGAAGGGGAGCCGGCATATTGCCTGCTGCAAGCAGGCCCATCACCTTTGTCGAGAACAACAACACTAAACATACGCCCCAGCAGCGCTCATGCGCCGGAGGCCCGTGATCACTTAGCATGGGATACTTTGCAGGGGTGATGAGGGTGGCCTGACACGCGCGGCGCACCTCGTGGGCGTCGCGCACCTGGCTGGTGACTGCATTGGTTCTTGATCATGGTCGATGGCGGACCCTGCCCATGCTGAGACTCGAGTGCTACTCATGTGGTGGGAGGGCGGGTGGAAGTGAGCGAGATGGCGCCGTCCTTCGTGGGGACCCCTCGCCCTACGCCCCACCCATGGGACTGGACGGGAGGCGGCGAGATGTCAGAGCGCCCAAGGTGGCTAAAAATAGCTCCACAAAGGCCCCAGAAAATCCAAGATGACCTCCGAGATGATTCAAGACAGCGCAAGATCGCTCAAGATGGCTCACAGCATGCTAAAAGCTGCCCGACCTCTCCAAGACGGGTCCAAGGAGGGCTGGGGCCTCTCAAGGAGGCCAGCAAGAGATCAGCAACATTTGCCGACCCAGGCCTCAAGATGGCTCCAAGAGGGCCCACTAGAGAACGAAGAGTGGCCCATGAAGGCCTCAAGATGGTCTCGAGCGCCCAAGAACGCCCGAACAGCGTTCCAAGGGCAAATGGGGCGAGGCTAATTAGGCCCCCGCCTTTTTCGTGATCGATGTCCTCCAAAATGGCCCCCGAAGCTCCAGATGGCCTCAAGAAGGCCTCAAGAGAGCCCCGAAGTGGCTCCAAGACGGCTTCAAGAGTCACCCAGAGCACACCATGAGCGACCCCAAGAGGCTTCAAGAGGAGACGTCTCGAGCCCAAGGGAAGCTACCCTGATCCGAGCTGCCCTCCCTTCCTGCTCCTTATCCACCCACCTCCTCATCCTCCTCGTTGACCCTTTTTCCTCAGAAATAACTCCTCCCTGCCGCACCCCGAGGCGTGTGGGTAGGGCGGACCGGGCATTTCGCCTGAGACCTCCTCACATCTTACGATCCTGAAGCTGACAACACTCCAAGAACTTCACGGATGGAGGGCGGGTCGTTTTCAACATGCGGCTCTCGCCTTAGCGCCCCGCACACTCGCCTGAACAATACAAAGGCTTCATGGATGGCAAGCGAGCCGTTTTCAGAATGTTGTTCTCTCCTTAGCGCTGCGTGCATTCGCCCTGCAAGTTTGCACGGGCTTCACGGCTAGAGGGCGGTCCGTTTTGAAAATGTTGCTCTCGCCTTAGCGCCACGCGCACTCGTCTTTAAAAAATGCTGCAGCTTCGCGGATGGCGGGCTGGCCGTTTTCAAACCATGGCTCTCGCCTTACTGCCGCGCACACTCGTCCTAAAAGGTTGCAAGAGTTTCACGGGTGGAGGGCGGGCCGTTTCCAACATGTCGCTCTCGCCTTCGCGCCGCGCACAGTCGTCTCAAGAGTTCCCAGCAGTTTCGCAGATTCGAATGGCTGACGTCCCAGAACCATTGTCTTGGCACGACGTAGACCTGCCAGGGCGCACCAGTTACGTTGATTTGCGGTGCTGAAGCCCCAGGAACGGTGGTGATCTGGCGCGACCCAGGATCGCCAGGACGCAACAGTAACGGTGATTCGAGGCGTTGAAGTCCCAGGGGTGTTCTGGCAGTCGGGGGTGTCATACGCTTGTCTTCCACTTGGGCATTCCATACGTGAAAATGAACACTTCTATGAGACCTATGGTGAGGGAACTTGGAGGAAGGGCTTCATGCAATATCGTCGATGAGTCGTGGGTTTGCACAGGTCCTCTCCCTCATTCTCATTCTCCTCCTCCTCCTCCTCCTCTTCCTCTTCCTCCTCCTCCTGCTAGGCCAGGGGTTCACCAAGAGTTGAGTGACAGCGTGCTCCATCAAACTACTCATATTTGCCCTCGACATCCTGGTCCTACTTCTCATCCTCCTTCTCCTCTCTCATCTTTCCTCGTTCTCCACCTCCTCTTCCTTCTCCTCCTCTTCCTCACCCCGCCTCATCCGTGTCTTCCGCCCTTCTTCTTAGATCTGGTCAAGCTCATTCCACACTTCGATTCGACCAGTTTCCGCAACTCCTTGTTTCACTGCATGCTCCCTCACCTCCCTCGTCAAGGCAACTAGCCTGGACATAGTTCTTGGATGGGCTGGTGGGGACACCCGAAGGGTGAAGAATAGCGCAGCGACCACCACGCGTATCGAACCTGACGCGCGCACCCGACACGACACCATATTCGCTGATTCGCTTGAGCGCAATACACTGACTCCCGCTCGCGGATCCTCCCCGTGGCAAGCTTCATTCACATCGGCCTATGTACCCCTCCAGGATATCACCCTGACCGCAGCAGCCGCATGATTCGCACTTGGGATGTTACTTAAGCAGCTTGTTGTGTCTGAGGCGTCTCTGCCGCAACGGCGTACTTGTTGTTCACAGCGGGCCGGCTTTGTTGAAGGCCCCACAGCCCGAGATCGAACCCGCATTGGTCGACACTGTGAGAGGACGCCCATCGTGGTGTATTCGCGACGCTGGAGGTTTGGGGCCACGTCCTGCGAGGCGGGGTTTATCCATAACCACCGCCACGGGATCGATCTTTGGGAACCTCAGCAGGCGCTGGACATGGGCACATGCGTGTCCTGGGGAGGGCGGGGGGCCAAAGAGATCCATGTCCACCGCTTGCCGAACCCGCGAATGCCGACCAACAGGCGGTGGTCATGGATAAATATCCGCCCCGAAAGCCCTCCTCTGCGGCGCGGGCGCCTGGAGAAGGCGCCAGGGGCGCCGGACACCAGCTGGGAGCAGGCGAAGATGATCTGCTCGTACGCGTCGCAGAGCATGGCAGAGTCCAGGAGCACGGCCACCTCGGGCGGCAGGCCCAGCGGGCAGCGCCAACGGCGGGGCGACGACATGACACAAATTTACACACGACCAGCTTTGGGATCGAAAAGTGGCTACACCCTGCGACAAAGAAAGATACCCGAGAAACAACCCAAGCATAATCTTGTTAGGGCTGTAGGGCTATGGAGCTATAGGGTTATCGGGCTATGGGGCTATAAGGCGATGGGGCCATGAGGCTACAGGGTTATAGGACTGAATGGCTATAGGGCAACAGGGCTATAGGGCTACTAGGGTTATATTGCTATAGGGCTATAAGGCTATAAGGCTATAGCGCTACAGGGCTATTGGGCTATAGGGCTATTAGGGCTATAAGGCTACAGGGCTATAGAACTATAGGGCGATAGGGCTATAAGGCTGTAGGGTTATTAAGGTTACCCGGCACCCGGGGGCACCTGGGCGCCCGGGTACCTGGGCACCCGGACGTGCCGCCGAAATCGTCGCCATTCCTCACCTAACCATTCGAAACCGCTAGGACTCCTACAGAGGCAAGCCCTGATTGGGGAATGACTTCTGGGATGGATTGGAGACGGGTTTCCGGAAATTCACCGAGACCTGACAGAGCTCGGGCCCACCCGCGCCGCTACAAAGGGTCCTGCTTGACGGCCAGCCGGCAGACTCGCGCGTGCTGCGTTGTGCGTGCTGCAGAAACTTGCACACCGAACCCATCCCCACCTCGGGGTGACAAAAGGGTGCCAGTGCCGCTACCGCTGGGACCTTTTCCTGGGCGCTCTCTGACCAGAGTCCTACCAGCCCTTCGTGGGCGCAGGTCGTTTAGGAAGTCAGTTGTTCCAACCTTCCTCTCCCCTTTCGGGCCTTCGGGAGGAGGTTCAGCTCTCCCTCCTACCCCTTCTCCCTGGGTCTGGAGGGGGGGTCGCGCTTCGTTGGAGCGTCCAAGATGGCCCGAGATGGCACCACGAGGGCACCAGATGGCCCACGACGACCTCCAATATCATACAATATAGCCTAGCCGAGGCTTACTCAAGATGGCTTCGAAAATGCCTCCAAGAGGCGCCATGACCGTTCCAAGACGTCTCCAAGCGGCCACGGAGCCTGCCAAGGACTCACCTGAGAGGCCCAGCCCTCCAGCAGCTATGGGAACTGAATGTGTTTTGCCATCTCGCCGTCCGACAGGTTTCTGAGACCTCAAGACTGCTCCAAGATTGCCCAAGAGAAGAGGGGCCCAGGAGGGGCCCTAGACAGCCCAAATAGCGCTCAAGAGCGACCCCAAAGCGCCCCAAGAGGGCTTCAAGAGTCGGCGCTTGGGCTTCAGAGCGGGGGTCCGTAATTAGTGAGACCCCCTTTGATCGAGGGCCTCCAATATGGCCCCACGAGCCTCCAATCCCCCCAAGAGGACTCCCGGATGGGCCCGAGAGGGCCCCAAAGGAGCCCCAACAGCCTCCCAAATGGCCCCGAGAGGGCCCCAAGATGGCCCAAGTAAGCTGCCACGAGGCTTCCATAAATACAGATCCGCGAAAGCATTATGGTTGACTCCTCGGCCTGCTCAGGCTGATCCCGACCTTCGGTTTGTCGGCTGTGCCCTCTCTTTGTTCTACTGTGCGCCCCCCACTTACAAAGCTCGTGCTGGACGAGAAAGATATCGGGGAGCGCTGGACGGAAATGATCAACGACCTCGTGGGGCGCTCGCCGATAACTATGCTGAACGAAAACGACCTCGTGCAAGGGACGCTGGGCGAACACTACCCCATGGGGCGCTGCGACCCCAGGGGCCGCCGATTGCTGACTTAACTGTTTTCGGGCCTGCGGACCCCCATGACCCGCAAGGGCTCTTCTCTTCAGCCGGGCCAGGACCCCACCCCACCAACGGCACCCCCCAGCGCCCCCCAGGACCTCGAACCCGCGTGGCCCTGCAGAGCCTCTCATCAAGACTCCCAGAACCTCCCGGCACCCCCTAAGACCACTAAGGACCCCCCAGGACACCGCATGATCCCCACAGGAAGTCCAAGCACCGACGGGGAGGGAAGCCAAAACGAGAGGGGGCCGAAATCGGGGAAAGGCCGAAAACTCAAGGGGCCGAGCGAAAATTGAAGTGCCGAAAAGGAAAGCAATCCGAAAATGACGAAAGGGAGGCCGAACACCATCAAGAGAAATCGTCCCACGGGCGACGCTCGACGGAGGAGAAGGGAGGGGGGGGAAGCATGGGGGTGAGGACTGGCGAGAGAGGTGAGGGAAAGCTAGGTGCGCTCGCGCCTCAGCTGACATCCGATCCCTCCCTCCAATCCCTTCCGTGCGTTGTTTGCCTCTCTTCGCGGACGCGTGTCATAGTCGACCTGTGATGCCCACAACAAGACTACTCCGTGTTAGGCGCACCCAGATAAAAAGGAGAGCCGCGTGCACAGGAGGTGGTGGGCGAGCAGGAGGGCAAGCGGGATGAAAAGGATGAGAGCGAACAGAAACATCAGAAACTAAAGCGGACGGGTCAAGAGAAAAAGGGGCACCAGGGGAGGGCGCAGGAGGCGATGAAGAAGAACTCGGACTCAGAAACGTGGGCCGCGCTGGGGCGAGACGATAGCAGCAACAGGAACTGGAGTGGAAGAGGCGGGAGGAACAGGAGGACCCGGGGAAGGCGGAGGAGGGGAAATGAGGGAGGGACCACAATGAAGCAGGACTCGGATCCAGAAAAGTGGCCTGCGCTAGGGCGAGAGCGCCATTCTGAACGACAGGAGCAAAACGCAACGCCGATCAGAAAATGAGTTGCACGCTGCAGCGGGAACAAAAATTTGAAACACCAGAAACAATAGGATGTGAAATCCTACGTTAAAACAGCTCGCGGAGGGGTGGCAGATATTCCCGACTAATTCGGGGAAGGAGGGAGAGAGGTACTCATAGTGTTCAACTGTTAACTGTGCAGAAAGGAGAGGAGAGGGAGGCGGATGACGGAGCGAGGGAACAGTCACGCAGACACACAAGGAGTAACGCAGACACACAAGGCCTGTCGGATCAAACATTGACATGCTGAGAATCGAAAGCTGCGGCTGGAACGATCTATAGACGCTCACTCACAGCGAATGGAAAGGAAGAAGAGGATGAGGAGGGGGGGGCGGCGGAGAAGAGGGAGGAGGGAGGACGTTGGAGCAACAGTGGGTGAGGTGCTGCCAGGGAAACGGGGGAAGGATGCGGAGTGGGAGAAGGGGGGGGGGGGAGGAGGGGGCAGAGCGGCGACGGTCGACACTCTCGGGGGCCCATTGCGGCCTCTGGTGCCGTCTTGGGGGTGCCCGCGGGCCCTCCTGAGCCGTCGTGGGGCCCCCTTGGGTCGCCTCGTGCCCCTCCGGAGACATCCCCTTGTGACCGTCGTGGGGCCACACAACTTGGCTCGCTGGTGCGAAAGCGGGAGCGACGGAGGGAAGAGAGACGGGCGAGGAGGTCTTGCTCTCCCAAGCGAATTCATATCCAGCCACGCAGCGAACAGCAAACACTTGGCGCGCTTCCCGGAAGGCGGCCACACACTGACGTGGAGAGGGGGATGGCGGATCGCGTCCTCCTCCTCCTCCTCCTCCTCCTCCCCCTACTCCCTCTCCTCCACCACCTCCTCGTCCTCCTCCTCCTTCTCCTTCTCCTCCTCCTCCTCCTCCTTCTCCTCCTCCTCCCTCCTCCTCCTCCTCCTCGTCCTCCTGCTCTTTGTGCCCTAAAGGAACCCTGACGAGCCCCCCTGGGCCCCAAAGCGGCACGAAGGGTTCACGTTTCTTCTCCCCCCCCCTTCTATCGCCCCCCACTGCGACACGCCCGGAGGGCGGAGGACGAGGAGGAGGAGGAGCTGGGAGAGAGCAGGGGAGGGTGCGCAGGGGGCACGGCGGCCGTGGCCATGGAAACACTGCCATTGAGCCATTTGGAAGAAGGGTGCTGGAAGGATGCAAAATGGAACAACTGCACCTCATCCTGCCCAGATGTAGCGCATGGTAGCATCCCATACCACCTTGTTGGCTCTTGCGAGTTGACGCTAATCGATGCTAGTCGGCGCGAATCGACGCTACATCGACTCCAACCGACGCTAAGTGACGCGAGTTCGGCTCCATCACATACATCGACCAGCAGGCGCAAGACGGAGTTACGAGGGTACACTCGACCCCCATGATTTCCGACCAAAGAAATGTCCGCGCAACAATAAGGAATATTGGGTAAGAAGCGGCGGTTGTTGTTCCTGGCCGCGGCGAGCCTCCACAACGAATCGATCCTCATACATAAACATTGAAGGAGCAGCCCCCAAATCGGAGCCCCTCCTGAACCTCAATGACCCTTGCTTCAGCGTCTTGGCTATACGGCTACAGCACTGGATTTGGCTGTTCCCAGGGTCCATGTCTTCGGTGAGCACGGCGTCTCGCGCATTCCTCCCCGTTGCCACGTCGCGGAGCGCATGGATGCGAAACGATCGTCGCAGGAATAGACGGGTGCGCATGCAAGATTGCGCGATACGACCCGACGATGCTAGAATCCAGAAAAGTCGTCCGGCATGCTCTGGAGCCAACCAGAGTAACAAACAATGATACCCTTTGCGGCAGAAGACGTGAGGCATCGGGAGGCAACGGGAGGCCACGGGAAGCAACGGGAGGCCACGGGAGGCCACAAAAGGTAACGGGAGGTAACGGCAGGCAACGTCGCCCGCCCGATTCCAGATCCGGCCATGATCTTGCTACTGGTAGAACAGGCTTCTAAAGCCCTACAGACAAGCTGCCGAGGGAAAAGCAAGTTCGCAATCGCAGACAGCATGAGACCTCCGTGGTGTCGTCGCGCCCCCTCGATGCAAAAGGAGCACCCGAGATCCAGCGCCGGGTGCTCCCCGAGAGCCAGCCCGGCCAGCTGGGTCCGCCGCGTGCGCGCTTGCCGCGACGGGGGTTCAGGGAGAAGGGGGTTCACTGAGGCGGACTCGGCGCATGTTGGCCTGCTAGCCTCGGCGCTCAGGCCTCCGTGATGATGAGAGAGTTGCATGTGGTGATTGCCATCCCTCCAGGTTCCATCGCGATGCTCTGATCCAAGAACGCAGTACGGTTTCCTGCTCGTGCAGGGAGAGTCATATCGTATTCGGTAGACGTGGGAGGGCCCCATTTCTGCACACGACGTGGTTACCAACGCAGTCGTCTCCAGCAGCATCTATCACTGGATTGGACCAGCTGCTCGGTTGACACTTCTCGCGAAACCCATTGCCCACCCGATGTCTGCGCCCTCGTCGCCTGCACAGCTGGGGGTCTACAAAGGTGGGAGCCGTCCTCTTACACAATCGGCCGGCCCACCTTCGCTCTGAGCCGCCAGCTCTGAAGGCTTGCCAGTGGCCCCATACTTGCCCGCGCATTTGCAGCTGAGCCTTAAGGCCGATCACCATGTGCTCTTTCATCTCGCCGCTGTTCAGCTTGCCGAGGCTTGCTCCCGCTGGCGGCATGGGAAGCGTATCCCATAGTTTCGCACTGGTCACGGCGTGGAAGCCTCGGACGAGGCCTGGGTATCTTGCACTGAGTTGCACCAGGACAGGATTCCTGAAGAAATGGGGGTGCGCCACTTACTATGTTACAGGCTCTGATCCATCGAGACGACGTAGTGCAGCTCTTCGCTGAAAAGGGCGGCAGGCTGCGTGTACATGCCAATCTGCCCTTCCTCCTTCCATATGAGCTCACCCATAGTCATGTAGAGGAGGTATAACCCGCCTTGAAAGCCCTGGACAGAAAACACCAGATGGGGTGAACTGTGCGTCAAAGTTCCGAACTGGCGAGTTGGGCGTGGATGACCAAATACCTTGGCCGTCCACGCTGCTGAGCCCTCTCACGACAGAGTTCGAGGGCACAAGATTCTCTGACTGTTGCGATACCAGTGGCGATTCTGATTGCGGCAGCGGTCGGAAGCCAAAACGAGGGCTCCATCCCTGGCAGCATACCCCTTGACACCGGTGATCTCGGCAGAGACCTTGGTCCATGGTCGAATATATCTCGTCGCCCGTCTCCAGGCCGATTGCACATGCATGTCCAGTGGTGGTGGTTCCGTAGAGTGCAGGAATTACCCGCTGGCGCTTCAAGGCTGCTGCTCGGGTAGACTTATCCGCCCATATTGGAATCAATGCGATGCTGGCATGCTCCGTGCGGGGCCATCTGATGAGTTCCCTTGGCTCTACACGTTCGCGGGCAACGGTTTTGATGACTTCGTCAGCATCGCCAGCCCTATAAGATTCCTCGCTCTTGGCGTGGTAGGCCGTGCCGAAGAGCACCTCGACGCGATCGCCGATCCTCAGGAGATTGCTCTCGGCGCCAGCGCTGACGCGCAGTGTGTCGTTGCTTGCCTGCGAGAGCGTTGGCGCAGCGGCAGGCTGGCTGCGGGGGGCGTAGGTCCAGAGGAGGCTCCCGAGCGTTTCGAGCTTGCGGATTGCGTCGTCGGACGCCAAGTCTATGTTTCAAATCTGGTCGTCGATGAGCGGCTCGCCTGCTGGCACGGTGTTGTAAACGCCAGTGGGGCGGTGCCAGGCCCAGGAGATGTTGCTCTTGGAATGCGTCGGGCCGGCGAAGGCTGGGGCGCCGAGCTTGCCGTGCTTACCGGCCGCGCTGCCCCAATAGAACTCGCTGCGGCCCTTGACCGCTCTGATCCTGTTGCTGCGGTACCTCGTGACGCCCGATGTGCTCATGACACCTCACTCCATGACTGCCTGCGCCTTGGAGCCCGCCTTCGACTTCGCGTGCGCCCCCTCCGAGGACCCGTGCGCGAACCGAGACCTCGAGAGCCAGTGCCCAGGCATAGCAGGATGCTGACGGCGAACGCTGCGCACCTCTGCGCGCTCTGCATGCGATACGCAATAGTCCTGCAATTGGATGGAACACAGTTTTAGTAGCAAACGCTAAGTATCGCGGGGACCGCTAGCTGATGGTCCCCTTGAGCCGGTTCAGGGGGAAAGGGGCGGTGACGGGCGCAGGGAGGAGGACGACGAAGATCAGGAAACAAGTGAGCGGCCACCAGGCTGTGTTTTCAGCGGCGGAGCGAAGGCTCAGCCTCCTCGGACAGAGGAAGCCTGGTTATAAGCGGTGCAGCGATCTCGGGGCCGCAGGAAGTAATGAAGCGACTTCTGGGACTGCGGGGAAGTTGAGCAGCGATGTTCTAGGGAGCCCAGGCTCAAAACAAAGACTCTTCAACCTTGAAAAGAGTGTTGGAACGGACGAGGCGAGAGCACAGGAAGATGAGGATAATGTTTTGCCGCGCTGTCCCCTGGCGCCAGACGCGCCGCAATGCTCATCCAGCAACCAAAACGAACGAGGGCTGGAAGCCCAGGAGGACATCCAAGCCCCAGGCGATGCGAAGAGGCGGAGAAGGGGAGGAGGGATACACACATAGCGAGAGAGAGAGAGAGGAAACAAAAAAACGGAGGAGGAGGAGGAAGGAGGACGGGTGGAAGGGAGGGAGGGAGGGAGAGAAAGAGAGAGAGAGGGATGGAGAGGAGACGAGACGAAGAGACTAGAAAAGAAGGGAGGCGAATCACCGCCAACCCAACGGTACGAGGAGGAAGAGGAGGAGAACGACGACTGCGGAAGGACGAGGACGAGAACGAGGAAGAGGAGGAGCAAGAGGACGAAACGCAGCAACAGGTGGAGGGGGGGGGGAAGTTCGCTGCCGAGGCGGTCACGTTCACCCGCAGGGTCTGACCCAGCAGGCCCATCTGCGCGTCAAGCACTTCTCTCTGGGACTCTACGAAGGCGTCGGTCACCTCGCTAATCAGGCTTCGGTTCGCTCGTCAATCTGTCTGCCCGTTCCCGTCTCCTCCCCCCCTATACCCTTATCCGCGAACATCCGCCACCTATGCCAAGAGCTGTCTGGTACGGTTTCTGTCATTTTCTTATGGCCCCAGGGCCATCCTCTCCGCCCCCCTTTGGCATACACAACCCCCTCATCCCGAGGCCAGGACCCCCTAGCAAGCTGCAGCAGATTCGCGCTCCCGAGGCCCAGATGCCTTCAAGACGGTCTAATACCGCTCCACGACGGGCGACGTTGGCCTCAAGACGGCCCAGCATGGCTTGAAGACGGCCCACGAGGCCTTCGAGGCGTCCCAAGAGAGCCCCGAAAGCCTTCCCAAGAGGACCTCGAACGGCACAGTTCAGTGATTCCCAAACTGTTTCTCAGTTGTGTTGGGTCTCGCCTGTCCATGCTTCCCACGCCCCAAGACGACCCAAGAGGCCACGGGGACTGCCCCAGAACGGCCCAAATGTGCCTCCAAGAGGGCTCAAGAGGGCCCTACGACGGCCCAACAGGCACAGAAAAATGTCCAAGAGGGCTCCAAGACGGCCCCCAAGAAGGTGACGAACCGACTATCCGAACCATCCGCCCCAAGAAGGCTCAAGAGGCCCCACGAGGGCCAACAGTGGCCCCCAAGAGGCCCCCACGGGGGGCCGAGAGGCAACACAAATGAGGTCCCAGACCCGTTCCAAGTGTTGTTGGTCTCTCGCCTTTTCGAATATCCGACGCTCCAAGACGGCCCAAGAGGCCCCCCACCAACACTTCCCCCAGACGGTTCAAGAGGCCCCTAAGAGAGCTCCAAGACGACCCAAGAGGGCTCCAAAACTGCCCAAGATGCACCCACGACTTCCCAAAAGGGCCCCAAGATGGCCCCAAGCAGGGCCCAAGAGTGGGAACACGAACCAAGAATGCCAGCGTTATGCCACAAGAGGCTCCAAGCACGCCCCCTTCCCTTCTCGAATAGTTGTCACCCAGAATGCTGCGCTGGCACGTTGTCGGAATTGCCAGGGGCGGCTGGATACTATAGCATGTCCCTCTCCTCCTTGCTCTCCAAGGCCTCCTGTTCACCCCACTCCGACCAAGTCGTTGCAGGCCTTTCATTTTCTCTAGTCTCGCACCAGGTCCAAGTCTTGCAACCGTTTGTGATGCCTAAGTGGGCCAAGGCCAATGCGACGCTGACGGCCTCAGGTCTGAGCTGTGGTCGCCAGTACTGGACGCTCGAACTTCACGTCATCTCTCTGGTCTGTTCCAGCACCAGCTTAATGCAAGAACAGATGTCGCTCCAAACAGATAGCGCTCGAAAACATCGACATCCACAGTCAAGGACTCGGAACCGACCTTCTGAAACGAATCAAAGTTGGCAACCATGCGTGAGGCTGTGTTTACATCGCCATATAGACCTGTGCGTGCACATATGTAACCGGCAGCATATACATCAACGTACGCATGGCCTGCCAAGCTTGTTTGTAGTATTTCTCGGCTGAGATGGGTTGGTTCCCGGCTTCTGGTTGGCTTTTGAAAAGGGTTCGAAAGGCGTCTTAAAGACGTCCTAGAGAGCCTTCTGAGAGAGACTGCCGATAAGCTTTTTAGACGCTTCCGGAAAGTATCACTAAAAGTATATTAGCAGCGCATTCGAAATTCATATAGGTATGCCGAAGGGCCTCTCGGCGTCTGAGAGGCTTCCGAGAGGCTTACCCGAGGCATATTGGAGGCTTCCGAGAGGCATCTTGGATGCTTCCGGAAGGTCTCGGAAATCCTTCGTGACAGCTTCTCAGCGGCTTATGACAGGCTTCTGGCTGGCTCCTGATAGGCGTCTGAGAGAGGATTCCGTAAGAGGCATCCGAGCAATCTCTTAAAAGGCTTCCGAGAAGCTTCCTCAGTATCGCTTTAACACTTCTGAGAGGCCTCAGAGAGGCCATTCAATGAGATGATAATTAAGAGCTTCCGAGAGGCTTCCGAGATGCTTCTGAAAGGGCTTCCGAGAGGCCTCTTAGGGGCTTGCGATCAAATCCTTGAAGGATCCCGAGAAGATTCTGAGAGGGTTCTGAGAGGCTTCCTAGAGCCTTCGAGGCGTCTGAAAGGCACCCAAGAGGCATCCGAACCAACCGATTTCCGCGTCCATCTCGCCAGCACATCAGGATGGTCAAGGCTGCGTTGCGCCATCGCCTACGCACACGAGTGACCCTGGCCAAGAGATGCCTTGCTTCGCGGCTTGCCAACCATTGTACGCGATGCGACAGGGTTGGCCTGCGCGTTTGGCTTCGGTCCCGCCGCGTCCCCCGACCAACGGTCAATGTGGCGAAGGGTCACTCTTACCTGTAGCCGGGGGGCCCACCTGGGTGCCTCCAAGACCGGGAGGGAGGGAGCAGCGGGAGAGAAGAGGGAGGTAGGGTATGGGGTGCGAGGAGGAGGAAGATGATTGGGGGGTGGGGAAGGAAAGAGAAGGAGTGAGGGTACGTACGATGATGATGAGGGCGAGGAGGAGGAAGAAAAAGATGATGATAGGGGCGAGGAGGAGGAGGAGGAAGAGGAGGTGGAGAAGGAGGATTGGGTACGTATGGAGTGCGAGGAGTAGGAGGGGGGGGGAAGGCTGAGGGGCGGGAAGAGATAATGACCAGCCCTCCCTCTCCCCCTCCCGCCCCGCTCAGAACGGGGCGGGGGGGGAGGGCTGGGAACGAAGAGGGAGGGGGGTTCCAGAAGAGGTAATCGTGCCTGCTGGAATCACAAAGAGCTGCAGGCCCGCCCGATCCCTCGAGCCTATCGATGATCCTCAGAACGTATGTATCAGCGCCAACGGTTGCTTGTCAACCGAAGCCCGTTAGTCATGACCCAGGCTGTGTAATGAGGCCCAATACGAGTTCGGTGGAACTGAACGGGGTGAACATACATTGGGCTAACACACGTCCTGAAGATCATCGGCATTCGCATCACTCCTGGTCCCTGGCAAGCCTTCTCCGGGTCCTCCACGGTCCGGAAGAGGGTCTCCAGGCCTGGGGCTCAAGGGCAGGATCAGTCAGAATCGAATCGGGAAGTCGGATCGGATCTGACCGTGCGTCGGATCGGGCAGCACCAGCAGGGAGTCGGAGCCAAATCGGATCGGCCGCGCCAGGATGCTTAGCACAACCGCGCGAACGCCGGGCCACATCGGACCGTCAGAACATCATAACCAAATCGTATCGGGCCATCCGAAATCGATATCGGATCGGACCGCGAAAGTGGGCCCTGCCACCGCGCCTAGCCGCCCAGCGGAGATCAGCTCGCGCAGCTGCATCATCAGATTGGGAGGCGGCCTCGGAGCCCGCGCGCGCGGGGGTGGGGGATCAACAATTTTGTATGGAGAGTTCGAGAGAATGTTGCAAGTACGGTTCAAAAACTTGTTCTGAAATATCAAATGCTTTCTAGCCCTGCAGGCACGATCCGCTTGAAACGTGTGTGTGTGTGTGCACAAATTGGCCGATCGACGCCATCTCGGGGCCCGGGCGTTTGGGCTCAAAAACTGTATCGGGCCCTACGAAAGGGGGGGAGGCCTTGGCGGCCGGGGTTTTTACCATTTTCTCGGGCACTGGAAGAGGGAGAGGAGGGACAAGGGAGGAGGAATTGCATTGCATTGCACTGCATTGCGTTGCAGGTCATTGCACTGTGCTGCGAGGAACTGTATTGCATTGCATCCTGTTGCATTGCGTTGCGTTGCATTGCGTTGGAGCGCATTGCATTGCATTGTGTTGCATTGCATTGCGTTGCCTTTGCATTTGTAGTACTTCGCGCTGGAGAGGATGGGGAAGACCGGTAAGGAGGAGAAGAGAAGGAGGTAGAGAAAAGGGGAGGAAGGAGAAGTGACGAGGGGGGAGGAGGAGTAAGGACTGGGGAGGCGGGAGAGGGTGAGAACGAGTAAGGATGGAGGGGGGGAAGGGAGAAGAAAGGTGATCAGGAAAGGGTAGTCATGTTGTTCGCTCCTCTGGCCCTTCTCATCGTCGTCGTCGTTGCCGCCGTCGTCGTGGCATGATTACTCCGCCACCGCGTCTCACGGCACGAAGTGAAGTGCCGTCAGGTGCTCCAGAGTCCTCTGTAATCTGCACATGGCGAGTAGAGTGGAGCCGTATTCGGTTTCGGACACCGCGGCGCTGCCAGGTGACGGGTGGAGTGGAATAGTATCTGTTCGCCCGCCCAAGAATTACCATGTGACGAATGGGGCGGAATTGTTGTTTTTGTCTTGGGCCCCCGCGGCTGACACGCGACGAGGCGCGCATTGCGGTACTTTGCCTTGAGTTGCACTGCGTCGCTTTGTATTGCATTGCGCAGCCTTGTGTTGCGTTGCACTTCGTTGCGCATTTTCCGGTCCTGGCATCATCATCATCATCACCACCACCATCATCAGCAGCATCACCATCACCCTCATAATCGCCCATCATCATCGATATTGCCATCATTGTCAAATTTCGACTCGCAGTCACGCTAGCCGACGCATCCCAAAAAACCTTGAGCAACCCGCTAGGGGATGTCCAATCCGGAACGCTCAGACTTTCGAGCGTCAGACCGCCACGGTCTCATCAACCCTCCGACCCAACACCACGTCAACTCTACAACCCGTTAATTCGTTCAACCAATCAACCACCGAAGAACCACATGGGCAAGCGGGCAACCCCGCCGACCAACCAACCAACCAGCCAACCAAACAAATGAAGAACCAACCAATCAACCAACCAACCAACCCACCGACAGACGAATCATCCAACCAAACAACCGACCAATCAACCAACCAACCACCGAACCAACCGGGCAACCAACCAAATTTACCGACCAGCCAGCCGGCCCATCGGCCAACCGGCCAACTGGCCCACCTGTCAACCAACCAACCAACCAGCCAGCCAAGCACCCAACCAATCAGCCACCCACCCACCCACCCAACTAACCACCAACCTAACCAACCAACGGAGCAACCGACCAACCAACCAAGCAACCAATCAACCAACAGAGCAACCAACCAACCAACCAACCAGCCAGCCAACCAACCAACCAGCAAACCCAACAACCAGTCCGCCAACCAACCAGCCAACCAACCAACCAACCGAACGACCAACCGACCGACGAACCAACCAATTGTGGCACAACCCTCACACGGATCGCGCCACGGGGACCCAATTTCTCTTTTAACTCTCAGAAGCAGTTTCTGAACCCTCAGAAATCAGTTTTTGAACCCTCGGACAAATTTTGAACCTGCTCCACGCGGGGGGGGCGTCGAGCGACGACTTCTTTTTTTTTTTTTCTATTCGCTCGCCTAGCGGGGTGCCCTTGCAAAAAGGAGCAACCAAGTGGTCAGCAGCTGTCTTCAAGACTCTGCCCGAAGCGCTGCCGATGCCCATTCAGCTCGTCCAGGCCCTACCCATGAGAATGGGAGAGGGGTGGGAGAAGGGGGGGTGGGGAAGGGGGAAGAATGGGAGGAGGGGACGGAGGGAGAAGGAGAGGGAAGGGGAGGGAGGGGAGGGAGGATGATGGATTGGAGGAGGGGGGCAGAGGAGAGACGGAAGGGCGGAGGCAGCGAGAACGAGGAGGATGAGGAACGAGCAGAGACTAGCTGGCGACGAGCGCGGGGGCCAAGGTGGACAGATGAGGAAGGACGAGTGCGAAGACAGAGAACGACAGGCGCGAAAAACGGATGCCAGGAGACCGATGAGAGCAGCGGCGGCCGAGCGAATGGGCAGCGCGACGTGGCGCGCGATGATCTCGAAAGGCTGCACGGCAGGGCTGGGCCCCTCCGAGTGTGCCAACCACGTGCTGGCTGGCTCAGACGGCTAACTTGCGGGCAAGATGTATATCCGTAACTATCCACTGCATCCTGGAGTTTCGAGCTCCCTTCCTCAGACACCCGAGGTGCAGTGGATATGGATCAAAATCTGGTCTCTAGAGGTAAGATTGTTGTCATACGTATCCACTGCGCCTCAGCCTTGAGTTGCGCCCTCCCAGAAAGTCCGAGACGCAATGGATATGGGATATAGATATGTAAAATATTTCGTGGGAGCGGTGCCCCAGCAAAAGATGCCACGATTTCGGGCTTACTTTTTTCCTGGAAAAACGTTTCCAATCAAACGTTCTGTGACCGAAAACTCACAAGCGATGGCGCGAATAGGGTCGCAGGAAAAATCAAAGCAGGAATGGGCGCAGCAGGAGTCGGCGGAGAGAGGGCGAGAACGGCGCTGGCCGCCACGAGGGGGTCCGAGGAGGTCAGATAAGAACCCGGCGCGCCTCATTGGAGGCACTGGCGATTTGTTTACCCCAGAGGGTCAACGCCCGAAGCGACGAAATATAACGCACCTTGACACCGCCGTCGCGCATACAAAGTTCGATGGTGAGTCATAAATTCGGACTGAACATGTGTGCGTGGCTGAACCTGCAATGCATCTAACTAAATTAATTCCGCTGTTATGGATGAGCTTATACAGATTTGATTTTGCATGTCCACGCAAAAAAAACGCGGGGGAACGGAAGCGACGAGAAGAGCGATCGCCAACCAGGAGAACCCCAACCACGGGGACCGCCTGCACATTCTCCGCGTCGGCAGGGGGGACGCGTTGCAGCTACCCCCCGCCCTCCTCCCACCCCCATCGCGCGCAGCGGACGAAGAAGGAGCATAGCGAACGAGAGCGAAGAAGAGGACAGGAGGAAGGCGCGGGAAAAGGGGCGGAGGGAGCGAAGGAGAAGAGACTAGAAGACAAGGGAGGTGCGGTGGGAAGGCGCATTGAGGCTCTTTCAGGCTCTCTTGACAAGCTCTCTTGGGTCCTCTAGGTCTGCCTGAGGGGCCTCGGCGAGGCCCCAGAGGGGGCCCTCCCCAAATCCTTCTGCAGGACTGCCTCGGGCTCGCCCCACTAGGGGTGCTTATTTGTTGGCGCCGTCGGAGTCGAACTTTGTTGTTTCAAACGCTGAATATGGTCTGCTTGTATTACAACGCTTATCCGAAATATGCAATGCAAAAAATGCCAGCACTCCTTGAGGAATCTTTTTTCGCGCGCTCGCTGTGCTCGCGGAGAGGGCAAGGGAACTTCGCATTTCCTCGGAACCGCGTCGCGATTGCGAGGCGCAGGCAGATATCACCAGGAAGCTGCCGCACGATTGTGGCGCACAAAACCCGATAACGAAGGCCCCAAGAGGGCTCCAAGAGGGCTCCGAAAGGCTTCCAATGGCAGTGAAAATGAAGCCACGCGAGCACCCATGCGCGCGACAGAACTCCCACTCCACTTGGGGGCCTTTTGGAATCCTTTCTGGGGCTCTACTTGGCCTTTCTGGGGCCGTTAGGGACGCCTGTGTGGTCCAAGAAAACCCCCAGAGGGCCCCCAAGAGGAGTGAAAGTTAAGTCATGCGAAAGGGCGCTTGCGTGACATCACTTCCTCTACTCTTGGGGACCCCTCGGGGCCCTCTTGGGGCCCTCTTGGGGCCTCTGGGGCCGTCTAGGAGCTCTCTTGGGGCCATCCTGGGGCCATCCTGGAACACTCTTGGGGCACTCCTGGCGCCCTTTTAGGGCCCCCGCGGTGAAGTGCATCAAACGTCCGCTTCACATCCTCCACCGCGGGGGGGGGCCCAGGCGCGTCTAAAGCACCCAGGGGCGTGTCTTGGGGCCTCCGAGGCCCTCTTGGAGCCCTCTTGGGATCCTCTTGGGCCTTCTTGGAGCCTTCTTGGAGCTACCCCACCGCCAATGGCACGACATGCATAGACTGACCGCTCCATGACAGGGTAAGGCCGTGGGGTTGAACCACCCCAGCCGCGAAGCCGGACACTTCAGGAAAAATCCCCCTGCCTCAAGGCAGGGCACTTGTGGCCAAACCCTTCCAGCCATGAGGCCGGAAAGGTGCCCCCCCCACCAAAATCTTGGCTACGATGTTCAACATCCGCCCCCACGATTTTGGCTACGATTTCGAACGTCCGCCCCTGCGATTTTCAAACTACCCCACTACGATTTTGGCTACGATTTTCGAAGTCCACCCCTACGATTTTGATTGCGGGGTCCGCGAGCCGCCAGCACGATTTTGAAATGAGGCCCTGGACCCAGAGAGAAAGATTTGCGTTACAAGCTGGCGTCCGATCCAACACGATTTCCCAAACAATACTGGCCGACGATATTTTTCGTGGGGATGTCTCAGACAAGTCGCACAAAAAAATCGCATTGCAAAATCGTGTGCAGAATCGTCGTCGGTTTTGTGCTTCTCTGGGGAGGGCCCAAGGAATTCTGAAGTACCACATCAACAAATGCTCACCCTCATCCTCCCTCCGCCAGCCGTTCCTCCTCCGATCCTTTCCCTCA